CCTACATCTCTCTGCCCTAGTACTGCTGAAACACAAGTAGAATGCATAATACATAATAGAAGGAGAAAGGGGGGTACAATACGGTTTCCACTGCAAAACACTTTTTTTTTTTTTTTCTGAAGAAATGGGGCATTTGCAAGCTGTCAGTAAGAACTATCACAGCTACTCCAGTGAGGAACAGATACTATGGAAAATTATTGGAATTAATGATGTGGTTTAAGGAAAGCGCTTTGCTGTATTGCCACCCTACGGTGAAATTCCCCACTCACGTGACTAAGCCATTTCTAGTCACTTCCACATCCTGAAGAAGGATACTGATTAAATACTGATGAAAAGTCTCGTCTAACGTTACTCAATTTGTTGTGTTTTCCTAGAACTATGCCAGGAATGGGAGATGGGAGCAGAAGTTCCAAGGAGAAAACGTCTCCTCCTGGACACGTGCAACAGTTGTGGACTACAGCACAAAAAAAGCCCACGCACACGTTCCTGTGAGGAGGTAAATGAACCCAATTTGCTGACAGAGGCTGCTAGCTATGCACGAGTGCTTCCCCTCCCTCTCCAAGATATGTCACTATAATCACTTTGGAAAAAAAATCATTCAACATTTTGCAATCTGTAAACACAATCAGTTCCCCCTTCTACTTCCTTTCTGGGAGAACCAGCTGCAAACCCACTCATCCAGGGAGAGAATTTGCTCAGAAGCATGCAAGAAAGCTCCAAAATATTCATGCTGAAGACCAAGCACTGTGAAACAAGCAGTATAATTTACAGAATTCACATTGATTGTATAATGGAAAATAATAAGTCTAAATATGGCTTTTCAATTTCTTTTCTTTTTTTTTTGTTTTTTCTTGTTCTCAAGGCACATTCTGAATCAAAGCCCCAGGTAAGGAGGAGGCGATACAGTGAACTGCTGTTATGGGACACTGTGTTTTAGGTATCTTTTTTCAATTGGCAATGATCTTGACAGGCAAAATTGTGTTTTTAACAGCATAGATGAAAGGGAAGGGGGTGTTGGGATATCCAGTCTGATCTTTCACGATATCATGGCAAGCAGGTGTGAACAAGCTAACTCTCAAACCCTCCAGGGTCTTTAAATTCAGAAGTGTGGTATAAAAGGGCACAGTGTTCAGGGTGTGTGAACACTTGGAGACTTGTTTTCCAAACCAACCTGGCATTTCCATCCTGCTGCTTCATATACACACAAGTCACTTGAATCCAGTTCCTCAGCTGAATGTTATTCCTTTGAGGTGCCCTCAGGTTTTGCTGCTGTTGATCATCACACTCGCATCCCTGGCCTCATTCTTCATCAACAAGACTTTGCAGTTAAGATTATTTATGATAATCAATATTAATGATTAAGATATTATGATTAATATAAATATGGTTCTATAGGATCAGTGTTGTATTGAAATCTGAAAGTATCTGAATTAATTATCTTATAATTGCTGCACGTATAATAACACATGGGCTAATGTAGAGTCTTCCTAAACTCAGGGCTAATAAGGCAAATTTGAAAGCCTGCAGAAATACTATGAACAACAAAATAGTACCTTTTTTTTTCCAGCTACCAAAATTCCCTTGAACTTAAACTTTTCTGAAATATAGAATACCAGTATCAGTGAGATCAATTTTATATTTCAGCATTCCTCCCCCACCTGAAAACATTACTTTGATCAAAATTCTGCAGCTTGCTTTATGTCAAGATCCCAATCAATACGTTTTTATTCTTAATAAAAAATGCATTAAATTGTTCTAGTGACTAGCTTCCAAAACACTGATTTCAGTCAGTCCTATCATCTTGCCAGAAATTAGATTTATAGAATGAAAACCTATAGGTAAATAATTAATAGATTTTTCCCTATAAATGAACACAATTTAATAATAGAAAATTATTTTAAAAATTTGTTACATATATAAAAAAAGCTTCTAAATGAAGATTCTGTATCCAGCTTCTTCAACTTAGACAGATAAATAATCACATGTATGGTTTGGATAATAGTTATCAAAAATTGAACCACGTCTAACATCGAAAATCCCTTTCCACACCTGGACATAGAGCTCAGACTTGATCACAAGCTGCAGGAGAATCCATCCCCTACAAAGACTGCACTCCCCTTGGAACAGCTAAATGTTTCTGAGCTTCAGGTTATCAATTCATGAGTTTTTCTTGCAAGTTCATGCAGATCCCAACAGACAAAAGATTTAACTTAACTCTCTTTGATCAAAGTTCATCAATTCACCTAGCGACTATATGTAAAACTATGTAACATCTGTGGTGTTAAAATAATCTTCAGGTATTATTTCCCCCCTCCTCTTCTTCCCCATAACATAATAAGCTTCTTTGGCTTTCCCTCGGTTGGTACCAGCTGAAAAGGAAGCAAACTAAAGGAAACCTTCAAGCAGAAGAGATAAAAGAATCAGCTTTAAAAACTCAAAAAAATGTAAGTAATCAGAGTTTCTTAAAATCCCCTGTTGTCCCCAAACTGTCCTGACTGCAGGCACAGAGCTTCACAGCATCACCTTCAGAAATTAAGGCCTGTCACATTTTATTTCTTTAGCAAAACCAGAGGCCTTTTGCCTTCTGGCATGACAGCGCTCAGGAATTAGTCATGGCAGATATTTTCTGATTTTTCTCACTCGCACGATGAGGAGAGGGAAGAATCAGAAAAGCAGAAATCCTCCCTGCTTTCCCCTTTCTCTCCCCCACAGATAGCTAGGCACCATGAAAATCCCTATTTTTGTATCATACAACCCTCTCAGAACCAAATACAAGACCAGACAAAATACACCTGCAGTTCAAGGCCATCAGCAGCCCTTAGGACATTTTGATCTGGGTGCTGAGGATAGCTCATGTCCTACAGGATTAGACCTTTAATTAGGTCTCTTCATTTGCTGGAACACCAAAGCCACAGGCTATCCTTGCACATTAGCTGGCAGCAGCCCTTGCTTGACAAGGGCACTAAATGCTAGGGACTGTTTTACTTGGCCTAAAACACTTAAAGGACAGGAAATGTTACCTAAGCCTCTGAGGGCGGCTTGTGCTATTCAAAGGGCAATTTGCACAGCTGGAAATTTTAATCCGTGCTATTCAATATTTGCTTTTATATGGAAGATATACATCCCTTGGACCTTGACAAGCCTACTAAGTTTAAAATGACAATACCAACTTGTGAGCTGCACAGGGTCTCACTTTTTTTTTGTCTTCTATCCAGGGTGAAGTATTTTTAACTTCAAGTGCGTTTAAACACAAAACTAAAAAGGGAAAATCAAGGATCTCAAATTTCTCTCCATTTGAGAAATGCAAATGAGAGTTTGCCCAAACCTGTACCTGTAACCCTAACAAGCTTGCTAGTATATTATCACATTACTTACTTGCTGTCAAACAAAATATTTTCAGGCAGATATGCTTGAACCCACAGGAGTTTTGTCCTCCAATAATTAACATACGCTTAATGGAAAGACGAAGCCATTAATAGGGAAAATAGAGTAATTGCAAATTTAGTGCATAGTAATTGCAGTAAGACAAAGGGTGTGTTAGAAAGGTGGGGCTTCCAAATCAATCTGAGCAGTTCAGACAAATACTAGAAAATCACACTCCTTTTATTTGTTCTTGAAATCTTGCTGTTGCATTGCAGCCACACACACTTTTTAATGAAGAGAATGTGAAGAGTAGAGTGAGTTATTTGCAGGATTTGTCACTTCACCAGGTCTGGGTCAAGATTACCACTGCACAAAAACAGTGCAGAGCGGTACCTCATTCACAACTGAGAGATCTGTAAACGTTACATTTTTTATAACTTTATTATTCCAGATCTAAAGCAGAAAGGTAAATAGTAAATTAAAACAAATTCATTTGCCATCTGTATTATTATCAATTCAACAAGAGTGCAAGCATAAACTCTAGCAGCTGCACTTAAACATGCCAAAGTTTTGAGTGTTTATTAGAAAGCTATGAAGTATTTCAGCTTTCAGCAATCCATGCTAGGGGGGATATATCTAGGGCAAACTCGTTAAAAGCACTCCATTTTTGAACAGAAAATTGAGCCAAAATGTGGGAAACCCCAAATTCTAATTAGCCTTAAGAGAAGGAGATTTAAGGGTGGGCTATAGGTCACTTAAACTGAACGAATAAAGTCATTCAGTAAACAGACCGAGCTAAACACAGGTGAAATTCCTCCTGTAGTTGCAGAAATATGTTTTTATCAGAATAATATGATTTTACCAAAAAAAAGCCTTTGAAAACACACTTGCAAATGCATGTCAGGGAAGATTTCTTTTCACCTGCCTAAAGACCACCAGAGCACATTTCAAAACTTCAGTGCTGCAGCAGACAGGTATGCAAACCAGGATTCACATTTCTGAGTTTTAAATAAACCATCATGTTAAGAGTGATTCTCCTCTGACAGGAGGCCTAAACTACGGTTATTTATGTGAAAACTTCACATGTGAAAGGAGTATTTGTAAAAGCTCCTCAACTTGCGCATAGCAACACCACCAGTTACAAATACCGGGCAGGGTTAAAAATACTTTATTATTTCAGTGTAATAGTATTTGAAATAGTTGAAATAGATGTTATGCATAGTTTGAAATAGATGTTACACAAAGGCTTGTGACAAGGGCAAGATACGTTAGATTCTGATGTAGAATTTAACCTTCCTGAAGACTGTATTAAGTGAAATCATCCAGTAGTCTGTTCTAGAAGCCTTTCTCTAGTGCAAGTGAAACGTCTAGGCTGGAAGGTTTGTACTTATGTATTCCAATTTCTGGCCAGCCTAGGTGTCTGCAGCCATCGCTTCAGAATTTATTCCAAGTTCCAGAGTTTGGAGTACTTTTTTTTTCCATTTCTCTCCAGAAGCCATAAAGACTGTACCTGCTACATGCTCCACCATTCCCCCATTTGCAGCAGTCCTCCATGCACCACAGAACTCATGTGGGTACCAGAAACCCTGCCCTTAGCTTCAAGTGTCACTGAACAGCCTAGCTTACATCTTCCTGTTAATACTATTTTTGCTTTTTCATTGGAACTTCTATTGTCATAAAATCCTCAGCGAGTGTGACCTCTTGCCCATCTAACACTGACTCTGCCTGTCTCTTCAGCTCTGTGATGTCAGCATCTCCTTCACCCATCTGCGTGGCTGGTTTATAACGTTGACTGAAGTGAGTCAAAACCAGTTTCTTAACTTTACACGATTTGGCAAAGCCAGAGGCCATTTTTGGGGTGCTGTGACCATGCTCTCTGGCCTTCTCCTCTTGGGTATCATCCAACGTGGCTTCATGAATCAACATATCTGCTTCACAGCAAAGCTTCATGGCTGCATCACCAACCACCCCTGAGCAGTCCCCTAAAATGCAAATTTTTCTTCCAGGAATAGGCTCTTCCAAGACATCTGCAGGAGAAATTGTTACTCCATTTTCTAGAACTACTGCTATACCATTCTTCAGTTTTCCATAGAGAGGACCTGGCTGAACTCCTGGTAAATAAAAGCAAAAGAACCAGTCAGTGCCATGATCACTGTTGGGTTTCAAAGAACTCCTAAGAGCTGCACTACATGTAGAGTTGTCTCACTGAAGAAATGCAAGCTGCAACGTGAACACAAGTGCTATTAGAACCTGCTCTTTTGGTATAAAAAGGCATCTAATGGTTCCTACAGGTGTAAAAAAGGCAGTTACAGCTCTCATGCAAATGCAGCAAGAAGCAGTAAGACCATAAGGACATTTAGGAATAAGCTTCAAAAAATTCTCATCTCCAAAGCATTCAGTAATTTTTAAAGAAGGGAAAAAGAAAGTCAAAAGAATTACCAAGTTCTTTTAGTTTTTGCACGTTGAGTTTACCCGCCCGTGGCTTCTCTTCCACTGCAAAGCCAAAGGAAGGAATGCGGTGGAAGAGGCGGAAGGCTTTGACTACAAACTGCTCATCATCCACCAGCAAGTACGAGTTTTCCACAGGATCCAGGTGGAGGATCCGCCCTTGGGCTTCCCCTGGAGATGTGTCGTCCTTGTCCAGGGAAGAAAAATCTTTAAACTCTTCTGCAGGGCACTGGTCCCGTGTCGGTACGAGCTCATGAACAACGTAAGGAAACAGAAGCTGCGAGTGGGAGAGCTCCAGAGTCCTCCATATGAAGCTTCGTAGTCCTAACGGCCCATAAATATCCACGGGTGGTTTGTTTGAGTCAGGGCTGCTTTGGAGGCTCAGGGTACACAGCAGGCCAGGAAGCCCAAAAAAGTGGTCACCGTGAAGATGAGTTATGAAAATCTTTGTAATTCTACCTATTGATAAGAACAACGGGGAAAAGAAAAAAAGGAGAACAAGTGAACACCATGACAACTTAGAAATTAATCACTTTTTGGCAAAAAGGAGAGAAAGAAATGAGAAGAAGGTGGGAAATGAAAATAAAACATGTTTAAGAACTAAATCCCAACCCACTAAGTATATTTTTCCACTACAGGGATAACTTTCCACAGAGGTCTTATTTTGACTTACAAATGATTTGTCCCAAAAGACAGTAAGTTTTAGCTAATCCTAAGCAGAGCGTGCTAAGAGCGCGGAGCTGGATCAGCCGTGACATCTGCCACATTAAAATGCAGAGCAGGTCTGGAAACTGGCTGCCCTTTGATACATGACATGGAATCTGCGGACTAATGAGAAACATAAGGTGGAATTTGTGTTGTTTCTGCTTTTGACTTTAAGACACAAAATAATCGTAATTTCAACAACAAAAAACTTTCGAGAGCCAGAACCCCACAGTTCCTACCTAATCTCTTTCAAACAGATGAAAGTTTTCACTTAAAGATTTGTGCTTTCAGTCTAGTCTGGATTTGTCTCACTCCCAGTTTCCAGGCACTGAACCTTGTCCTTGTTAGATTAAAAAAAACCCAGAATTTTCTCTTACTAAAGATGCATATACATTAATCTAGCTGAATCAGGCTCTTCGGTTAACTAATGGAGTTCCTTCTTCCTTGCTATATGGCATTTTCTTCACCCACTGAGTCTTTTAGTGGCTTTTCCCGCCTTTCTTTCCACAGAAGTCAAACTTAAACAAAAGAGACATCAAAATGAGACGTGCTCTTCCAGGTAACAGCTTCATCTTGAGCTAACCAGCTTGTAATTGCCTGAATCACTTCAGGTGCTCCATTCTATAATGGGGAAACCCAATTTGACTTGCAGCCTCTTTAGCGCTGCTGTTTGTGAACCGAAAGATGTCAGAGAACCAAAGTCTTCTTAATCAGCGATTAGGAGGAAGCAACTTACGTGTGAAAACTAAGAAGCCCTTTAAAAGAATTAGTTTAGGTTAGTACTTCAGTTTATTCACTTTGATGTTTATTCGGATAGTAGTTTCAGATTTTGGGGGGAGCAGGAGGTTATTTCTGTGTTTATAATCGACATTCCAAGTTTAAAATTAATCCGTGAAAGTCAGGGCTTGCTGCTGAAGACTGCAATGAGCGAAAGCAAGGGGGGTCCCTACATTACTGGCTAAAATGAAAAAGCTAATAGGAAAACACGCAGCTTTATTCAAAAACAGAAGCAAAACATCTACGAGCAGTAAGACCCATGGCAGGTATTGATTGGACCTGTCTCTGGACAAATACAAACCATGCAAATTTAGCTCCGTGTCTGAAACCACGAGGCCTGAAAATAAATTAATTTGGGGCAGTTTGTTTCTAGAGCGCAGCCCTCCGCACGGCTGGGGCCCTTGGCCCGGATCCCCGGTGGGTTCTGCCCTGTCCCGCAGCACCGACCTGCCTTCAGGTGGCTCCTCATGAGCTGGGTCTGCGTCCCCTCGCCGCAGTCGAAGAGCCAGCACTGCCCTTCCCTGCGGAGCGCCACGGCCGACGCGGCCGGCGACGGGGACGGGTGGGCCGAGCCCGTGCCGAGGAACGTCACCTCCATGGACATGCCGGCTGCGTCCCGCCGCCACCTGGAACAGGCGTTTTACGTTACCCAACACGCTTATTTTTGCTGGGGAAGAAGCAGGTATCTTTGCGTTAAGTGCGGGCATCCTCCTTTAGTGTGAGGGTCACATTCCCCTTCTCTTAAAAAAAAAAAAAATAATAGAAATTTCCCTGGAGCAGGACTTTGGGACGACACAATGTTTACAAACAGCAGATTTCCATCTTGTGCCAATGGAAGGTTTGCAAACACGCACAGCGAATGTTACAGGTGACCTTTGCTCATCACCTAGGTATTAAAAAGCAGAACCAAACAATCAAACAAGAAACACTCCCCCTAACCATCTGGAAATACTCTAGTCTTTAAAACTGCTACTGTTTCTTTCTTCTCCACTTCTTTTAACCTTATTTTTTCCTGTTTTCTGATAGTAAGAGCGTTCCTTTAACCATTTTCCCCTCCCCAAAGGCAGGCACTTTCCTCTTAAAAGCCTTTCCAGCGTGACTAATATCAAATAGCCCATGCTGGCATTTAAAAGCCATTAGTGGGCTGCAGGAGGAGACAGCCCAACACAACGGGGGCGAAAGATTCACTTCCCTCAGAACAACTTAAGAGACCGCAAAAGGCAAGAGCCGATTTCCTTTGCCTTAGAAAAAGCACCTTGAGAACAAACGCTGTTTTACTCACCAGGGTAAGGTGAAAAATTAAATACTGCAAAATCTTTATGTAGCCTAGAGGCTCTGTAATACATCAAGTGACACCTATTGTCACGGAGGAATCTATATAAGTAGCTGCCATACGTGAGCTGTTTATTTATTCACTAAACCGTTTGCAACTCGTGTACACAGGCAGGACAACGCTCTGGGCGCTGTGTTAGAAGCTCACGACTGGTTTTTAACTTGTCTGGATGTATACGAGGCAAATACGAGGTATTTGCATTTCCTTCGGCGTTAAGTCTTCTGGGACTTGGTCTCTACCTCACTTCCAGGTGTGTTTCCACATCATCTTGAACAGGCTTGGACACCTTCCAAGGGAAAGATCCACCCGTCTACTCAGGGCTAGTTATTTCTGCAGCGATTGCTGTAGTTGCCACAGGATGGGGAACGGGACCGCTCTCGTGTCGGCAGGATTTATGAGGCAAATGGAGCTGCCGCACGCGGGCACCCCACTTTGCAGGGAATGAGAAACACCCATCACACCCCGAGGGGCACAACAGGCCTTCTGCTTCCCTTGCCAGAAAGGGAAGCAAACCCTCCGCCCAGAAGCGCTGCAAATCCGCCTCCTTTTGGGTCGGTTTTTAGGCATTTCGCTTTTCCGAGCCGCGCTGCACGGCAGCAACGCGGGAGAAG